AGGAGGTAAATATTAGTACGTTCTAAACATTCTGTGCAAGCATTACTGCACCAGGTAGAAGATCCAAATTTTACAGTGTTAGATATTCATAATAAAGCTTAACATAGGGAAAAAAGATAATGTATCTAAAATATTAATAGTTTGCACATACTGAAATATGAAATTGCTAATAAAATCTAACATTCCAATGATAATTTGCTCCATTACTGAAAAATCACCTCCTTGATGCACATCAATTTAGAAAGTCAATTATGAATCACGCTAAAAATGGTCACAGAATTAACGCTAATTAAACCTCCAAAATACCAAAGCAATTTATGGAATAAGATGTATCTCTGGAAATTTTTGTTAATGAATTTATTACTGGAAAACTGCCTTAACTGAGTTTTCTCCTCAACAAGGTAAGAAAGAATTCTGCATACAGTGTGAATGCAAACTTCTTGTCTAACTGGTGCTTTGGTAATGGATTAGAAGGTGGAACAAAATCTGTTCAGTTCTGTTCACTGCAGTATCTAGATGTCAAAAAACAGACTGCTGAATTACAGAGGTGTAAGAAAATCCAATTAACATTCTTCTCTCAAAGAAATCTACCACTGAAGTTGTATGGGAATGTAGAAACGAGCCATTCCTCAGATACACCACAGCAGGCTTGAAATAGTTGATAGGAGCGAGGAGGAAGCTTCATTTAAAAACTGCTCTAAAGGGAGAGAGTTCTTAGGACAAAGACATCAAATTGCATTAACCACCTTTCTGGCATTCCTCAAACTACAAACTTTGCTGTTGTTCTGACATGTTCTTTTCTGATGGCTTTTTTTCTTTTTTTTTTAACCCTCCACTGTGTTACACCTTTCAAATCCATTATATCTGCGCTGTTGAAGCAACCTCCGCTGCTCGAGTGCCTGCCACTTCATTCTGCTATTAACGCTACATACTCAGCAGTGGAGCTTTTGTCTAAGAAAATGAAAGGACAGGAAACTTAGAGTTCATTTACAAAAATAAGAAGTGTAAAAATTAAGTATGAATAAAAAGTCTCCCACAAAAGGAGCAGTAAGCTTTCAGAAGTTGAAACTGATTGTCAAAAAACAATTCCTTATTTGTGAAGCTACGCTTGAAAAGGAATAGGTGAACGGTTGGACTGGGTGATCTTTTAGGTCTTTTCCAACCTTGGTGATTCTATGATTCTATGAAAAGGGGAAGGTCCCCATGCAGGAATGGGAAAAAAGAGGAGAGAGGCATCTAAAAATCTCAATTCTATCTTTAAACCATCAGTAAGAAGAGCTGCTGAAGGACAGTACTATAGCTACTATTTCATTAAGTACAATATCTACCTAATATTTCACAATATTATTTTGGAAACAAACATGTGTTCCACAAAAAAGAAGAACAGTATTTCCACAAATTCGGGGCTCTTTTGTAAACACTTGAGAACGATTTCAATACACAAGACGTAAATTATTCTCTTCTCACTCTTTTACATCAATGACAGCAGTTAAAAAAAAATACTCCCTAGCAATTATTTAGAAATTATTTAGCAAAAAGACCAATTCAGAATGTGTATCTGCATAAGCCATTCACAATTGGATACTAACCACTGCACAGCAAATAATATATTAAAAGCACTTAGAAATAGAATAAATATTTTTTATTTAAAGTATATTTGTGCTGCTGAAAAACATTGTTTATTTATAATCACTATCTCCATGCTCTCCTTTCAGGAGAAAAGACATATGCAAAATAAAAATTATAGGAAAAAGATATCGTATCATTTATTAGAATGCATAAATATGGTCAGGTATAATAGCAGATTTCAACTGAACATCCTTTGTGTAGCAAGGTAGAAAACTCTAAATGATGTGGAAATGTAAATAACAGCTTACCTACTATAGATTGCACAACTAGTTTGATAAACTGTCTGGACACCACTAGGAAGCCCACTGGATTAGCAGTCAATGCAATCAGATTTTTTTATACACATACAACATCACCATAAATGCTACAGCAATGACAACGCTCATACAGAAAACATTTACCAACTGTAACTAAACCAAACTGCTAATTGCATGAAGTTCCATTACAATAAATTTTTGAAAGAGGTCACACTGAAAAATAAAAGTTTAACAAGTTAGGATAAAGACACAGAAAGAAGCTTTAAACAGGAAAGCCTGATACAGCAGCTTGTATGACAAGTTCCAACTCCGGTTGCCATCGCACTTACCATTTATGTCCTCCTTTTATACTGAACAGTAATAAGGAATAGGATATAAGTGAAGGAAGCTTACTTTTCAAGGCTTTTAAGAAACAAAAACAAGCATTAGAAAATTATCGGTTGCCTTCTAAGTACACGGTAGGCAGAAGACTTCAACGTGTTACATAATTTAAGCCAAAAGAGTTCATCAAGACCAGATATGATTAAAAACTACACCCCAGTTCCATGAGATGTTGTGCTAACAAAGAAGCAACTTTATACTCTCAAAACTGAAATTAGCTTTTTTCAACATATGCACAATGGTAATCTAGGACTAGATGAAACTACCACATGCTCTCTGTTTACAGTAAACAAATGAAGAATAAATCAAAAAAACTTCAGCTGTATAAGAAGTTCTATTAAATAGAGTAAAAGATGCATCATTTTGCTACCTCCAGATAAGATTTATAATTCTTATTGGCTCCAAAATGCAAAGGCTTTTTCAAGCCTCCATTCATACATCACAACCTCAACACAGATCTAAAGACATGTTGTAACAAATGCTTGTAAAATGATATGTCATGCTTTGTTTCATAGCTGCCCTTATTAGAAAGGTGTTAAAGTAAGTAAGCAATAAATCACTCCCAATGCCCTTAAGAGGAAGAATTAAAACTGGAGGCAAAGTAGTCATCACATGACTGTAACACTCCTCAAAACACGGGAAAACCGATTAATTATTGTATATATCACTTCGAGTTCACATGATATAAAAAGAAGATGGCTATGCTTCATATTCCTTCAGTCGACCTGTATCTCTTTTGGCAGACTTCTCACTGCACAACTACATCTATATAATCTCACACCGCATGATATTCCAGATGAATGAATAAAATCCCCACAAATGAAACTCAGTAGGAGAGCTCCACACACTCTAGAACACTCCTTCCAACTCTTTTTCCCACAAAATTTCAGTGTGTAAAATCACATAAATTACAGTGATTGAAATGCTTTCCACCTGAACTATTCCTCTTTCTTCCTTACGCTATGACATTTTCCTATGTCTAGCACACAATCTGAAGAGCTTCTGAAGAGCTTCCAAATTTAAATATGCAGAACAGTATGAAGATGGCAAGCAATTCAAGCTCATAGACTAAGTAACCTTACCTCAAAGAGCTGCAAAAAGCAATTAAATAGAGGCTGCTGTGACCAGCATTATCCAGCACTCCCTCAACCTTGAGCTGCAGGGAAAACACTGCTACCCAACAGCAAAAGGAACTGAAGGAAGCTGCTGCCATCTCTTTCCTGCAGCTCTCAGCAGTGAGCAACAGGGATCTTGTAGCTCAGCCGTGGGATTACTTTGACACATAACTTACACAATCACAAAGTCAAACTGCCCCCAAACGATGTTATGATAGTAACATGAAATGAAATTACATACTTGGCTCTAGAGAAGTCAGAATCACTTCAGTATCACTTCTAGATTACATCAGATGATTGCTACATCCTGTTTTGCAAAATATGACTTACCAGTTTAATAACAGGAATACACTGAAGGATATTTTAAGTTTTCAGTTCTAGATCATCATCCCCCCAAAAATGTATGCTTAAACAGTTTTCCTTACAGTGAGAGCACGCAGGGAAATAAATTACCACCTATTTCCAGCTGTGAGTTTCTCAAACAATCAGCAAAATCAACTGACAGCAGTTGGTAACATCACAAAGGAACTATTTTGCTTCCTCTCTATCTTTACTAAGAATCCTAAATGCAACAGGAAAAATAAAAGATTCCTGTTCTATCTTCTCTTGGGAGGTCTCAGAACATATTCAGTACACTCTTCAGAGTGTTCTACAGGCAGAGGTATTGTATAGCATGTAAAATAAACATTACTTCCACAAAGCACAAATCAGAAAGCAGCTGAGAAACCAGCAATTCGTTTTCATTTTATGCATCAAGTTGAACCTGTACAGAGGATCACTATGTGCATTACCTACTGCTTTCCCACTAAAATCTATTTTAGCAGTATTTTACTACATAAAATTAAAGCACTTAACTGTTTTGTGCTCACTTCACTGTTCTGGTTGGTAGAAACCATACCTATGACCAAAAGAGATCATCCTGAAAATTTAGGAAGCTGATTCCTCTGATATCTCCATTTTGCTGTTCCCTCCAGATGAGACTTCAAAGGCTGAATAGACCTAAATACATTACTGCTACATTCTTTAATGTAGCAACTGTGGCAAAGATCTTTTTCTTCCTTTGAACATTTTGGTCATCTTCAGTACAGATCTGGAGATTTTCCTCATCTAGTCTAACAGAAAGCTCTCAAAGAAAGGGATTTTAGGCTTCATGTGAAGCTCCACTGCCTGTTTCTAAAGTATATGATTAATAATAAATTAAGCATAACACATAATAAGCAATCGAAGAAGCTTTGCAGTATGAATCATTTAAAAACTAAATTTTTCAGCTCAACTAAGGCACCTCTTCATGCCCATAACTATCCAGTCTCTAACCTTCCACTTAAAAAAGCTAAATGATTTCTTGGAAAACTTCACTTCCTGAATAAAAAAGGAAAATGATAATTTGAACACCTTCAATTAGCTGAAATGTTGAATTACTTATTTTCCTACAAGATAGTGAAGTCATAGTTCAAAAAAATTACACTACTAAATTTGTGCCATTCCATTCATGAGAATAACGGAGTTCTGAAGGAAAAACAGCACATGAGATGTCAGTTCAATAAGACAAAATATTAAAAAACCCTGAAAACTACAGTAAAATATTTACTATTTCAACTTTAGTCAAAGTTCTACTTACATTGTCCATGAAATTTGGCTTAAATCCTCCCTCCTGCTGCCGTCTCAATTCCTCCTGTTCCCTCTGGCGTAGCATCTCCTCTTCACGCCGTCTATGTTCTTCTTCATGTCTAGGATATTTTTCAAGAATTACATAAATTAAGACTCATGATCTGTTCGGGCTCATAACCAGTCTCAGGAGATAACATCAGCACATAAGATAACTACCTACTAGCTTTTAATACAGAGTAAGGCACTAATCTGCTCAACCTGATGGGCTTGAACCTTACTGAAATGTTTCTGTTTAACAAGTATTCAGGTATCCACAATACCAACATTCTTGTTCTTCTGCCTACAGTTAATCTGTACAAACAAGTAAGCAGGTTCAAAAGCTTTTAAAAAAAAAAAACCAACACTATGGATTACAATATTTCAACACTGCCTACAGCCAAACTGCTAACTCTATACAGTATATTGTTCTTTTGTGTCCTCTCCGTTTCTTGAGACATTTAATATAAGTAGTTGTAAGTAGTACACATATTGCTTCAAAACCAATGCTGAAATGAATCACCCAGCACCTCAGTATGCTCATATCCACTATTTGGTCCCCAAAATTGTCCAGCAAGCATCAAGGAATGTCATTGGGTGCCATTTTTTCTGTACAGAGTTATTCAATGACAACTCAGCTTCATACATACTTCCATGTCAGACATCATTTCATCAGACAACCCCTCTGCTCCAACTCTCACACGGCCACAGATGTTACAGAATATTGGTGCAAAGGTTCAACCTCTACTGCTTTACCACCAACATCCACCTCAGACATCATGGGCCAACATCACAAGATAGGAGGAATTACATTCTGAGCAGCCCCTGTATTCATAAGAATCAGCTCTTAAAGAGAAAAGCAATACATCAGAAAACAAAGTGCCACAAAGCACTACAGTAAGACGAGAAAACACTCCCAAAACTCTTGACTATAAATCTGCAATGCTACACTTCTACACGCAGTAGATGAATACCCCCCAATCTTCCAAGTGTGTTCTACTACAGCTCCATTACAACTATGCTTCCATCACATTGAAAAATAAGTCATCATATGAAACATTCACATTACAACATCTCTAAGCTTGTTAGAAAACTCAGATATTTACAAAACAACTGAGCTGAAATAAATGAAAAAAAATACTAGAAATACTTGCAACTAGTCTTTTGTATCAGCATAAGTGACCATTCTTCTCTGCAAGAATGTTAACAGAAACGTTTCCTGTTATGATTTTGAAAAACAGTTTTTAAACGGTAGACATTCATATTTTGTATTAAAAGCTCTGCACACCAAAGTATCTAAACTTGTGCAGGCTGACAGCAGATGCACACTTTAAATTACTGCCACAACTTCATACAGTACAAGACAAAAATACCTCAACTGTATCTGCTTGCGTTTCTGAAGTTCTTGATTCCGAAGTTCTTCCAAACGTCTCAATTCTTCCTGACGCCGCATGAGATCTACCAGGATTCAAAACATAATGAATATAAAAGCTCTCAATTAACAACACAGTAACAACAACAAAATCACTATCAGATTACCATTCTAACAATAATCAATTTTAAAATTAAAGCCATTTCTCAACACGTCTAAGCAGCTCCTCCCATTCAGCCAAGCTTGCCATATGAAAAACCACAAGGACCCAAGGCTCACATGCTAAGGCACTACACTGGCTATGCCCTCCAAAGCAGGTGATGGATGCAGAAATTTGAAGCCCTAAAACAAGGAGAAGGGGAGCTTAAGAAAAAGTCGCGATCACTTTAACCACGTCCTGGTTTTGCAGCTTTGGCAAGGTATCCATTTTCTCACAGTGCTGCATACTGCTGAAGTCCCTTTAGCAAGGAAACTAGTGCAATTCATATTCTCCATCATCTATTGCAGACAACTGCACAACACACCACAAACAAGTGAAATGAACTTGAGGTGCACGTGATCTGAACCTCTGGAGTGATTAATCATGACTGGTCTTACAGTCACTTAGAAATAACTGTAACTGTTAACACTACCAGAAAGAAAAGCCACATTCTTCCTTAAAAAACACTTTAAAACGCTCTTAAAAAGCAAGCCAGAACTAATAATAATTACTTTAGCACTATTTAATGCTGCCCAGTCAGACCACTGATTTCTGTCTGGAAACTCACGCATTCTTGAGTGAATATTAATTCCACCTCTTGCCACAATAAAAGCAGCTGTTTGCATATTCCATCTTCATAACATTGGCCACGTTATTTACAGACACCATTAGATGTGTTTTATGCTTGAGTTCAACTACTCCACACATTTTTACACGCATTTTTTCACCACATCAATTAAATCATTTTATTTACTCTGCAAAAAACTCAAGCTTGCAGCAGCACATATTATTATAAACTTTTACACTGCTACGTTTACCAAAATATCATGCATTTGTTTTCTTTTAACACAGATCACCAGAATTTTACCATATATTTAAGAAAGTTTACCAGATAACATCCTTACAGACAGTGTAAGTCTTCTCTCATGTTTTGCAGGCCTGCCTTTACCAACTTTGCAAAGTCAATGTATTTACATGGACTAATGATTAAAGCAAAGATTCATTCAAATCAAAAAGTCACAGGACCATTTCCTTACAACAGTGCATACTGCAGCAGGCTTAGCCAATGCTATCTTCTTACTCTGCCAGACTCCTTAAAGTAACATTTAGATTGGTTCAGAGTAATCATGAGATCACGAATGAACCCACTGTGCATTCAGCATTGGTCACTGTGGGAAAAGGTATCTGTCTTCATTCTATTTCCCACTTACCTATCATCCCCTTTTTCCTTACATTAATACACTGCAACAGTTTCTACCTTCTCTCTACTGCTAACTGCTATGAATTTATCATTTTCTCCCCTCTAAGCTCTACAGCCCTAATTTCACACACTTCTAAAAATTTTCAAGGCCTGTTTCTGATTACTGTCCTTCCTGAAACTGTTAGAACTTAAAAGCTCAGCTTAACAATTAGGTTTGGTACCACCCGACAGCGGCAGAATCTTGACACAAAGCTTCATTAGCTAGACAAAAATAAAGATCTAGATGTTTGGGCTGTGCACAGAGCCTCTCATATTAGAGGATTTGCAATACTGCTGATTCTGGACTGACATTTATTGGACATGGGTCCTTTCTCTGAACAGAAAAAAAAACCGCACTGAAGCTGATAGCTGTGAAACAGATGGAAAGCATGACTATTGGCTTCCTCATCTTCTCATGCCTAAAGAAAAAAGACAGATGTTTCAATATTCAAATTCTTGCAGATTCAAGGACTGAAGGTGAAAGTGACCCCTCATCTCAGGGGTTAATCCTACACACAACCATACCAAGACCAAAAAGCTGCATTGTTTTAGCTGCTAATTTTTCAGGTTCTAAAAACAGAAAGCAAATGGCCACTTTCCATGCAGAAGAATGAAGTTTCTGAGTAATCTAGTCAAATCTTCCAGTACTTTGTCAAACTATTTCACTGTCATTATGAAGAAATATTTACACAACTCTAAAGCATACCAGCAATAGGCAGATCAGAAATATCATGCCAATTTACTTACACATGGAAGCATGTATTCTGCTTTACAAATTACTTCTGACTCAATCTGTCAAAACGTGACACTTAAAAATGAGAAATCACACACGTTGAAAGAATGAAGTCTCTACCTTCAGTGTTAATACCATGCCATGAAAACTCAGGTACTTCAACCAGCATGTTCCAGTCCAAGTCCCAACACCTCTGATAAAGCAATTTCATTAAAACTCGATCTCCTTTGTCTGCTAAAGTATATGGATTGTAGGAAACTCATTCTTCTCATCTTTTTAGCTCCTGCTAACTACTATGCTATAGTTTTACATTCCATGTTCCAGAATAACTATTTCAACAACCTTTGCAACCAGTCATTTTGTTTGTGCATCGGGTATGCAAAAATAGTCATTCCTGATTCTGATGTTTTATGTTTCACTGCATCTTTCTTAAAAAGCACACAATTCAATCTCATCAGGTTACTTTCATATACACTGAAGCTGAAGAGTTGGTAAGAGAAAAAAAAGAAAAAAAAACAAGAAACAGGCTGACAGCTGAGCTATTCAAATTCCTGCATATCAATAAGCTCAAATCTGAGCACCTGCACAAAATTCCAGGTTGTTTAGTACCAAAGAGAAGTGCTCCATTATAATCAAGAGGAATGACAAACCCTCTTCCCACAGCAACAAAAAGCCAATCTTCTCAATGGAATATTGACATCAGAAACATCCTTATTCCAGTGGCTCTTCAGCAGAAGAAATAGTCTTTTTCTTTCTGTGTAAAAGTGGATCTTAAAAGATATTCCAAAAAATGAGAACTTTTTCCTTCAGCATCCATAAAAGGAGCTACAGTAACTATTTGGCATTTGAAATTTGTTGTTTTTTCTTATTTTATTATGCTCTGTATTGCAGCACCAGATCTTACATAAACACAGTTTCTCACTTAGTGCAAGCACGCTCATTGAGAAACAAGATAGGTGAACTTCTTCCTAATGACAACTTCCAGTTGTAGCAAAACTAATAACTTTAAAAACTAAGATTAAATGGTGTTCTGCAGTTCTCAACTGAAAGCAATGCAAACAGCAGTAATTATGGGCCACCAGCTTTTGGGAAAAGACTAACAGGCAGAAAATATCAGCTACTTGCCCTGTTTCTGCTTTGCCACAGAAATACAAGCTCAACTCAGCTCCATTCCCAAAGGTAGGGCTTGAAAACAGTTTCTAAAGGACTTTCTCTCCCCCAAAACTACAGAAAGGGAACATATCCACAAAGTTAAATAAGAGTGATGCACCATTTTATACTTTCAAGAATAATGTAGCTTAATGACAACTGTCACTTACTTTGAGTTGCCTACAACAATCATGCATACAGATTTCTCAGTTGGGTTTCAAATGTTAAAAAAAAAAAAAAAAAAAAAAAAAAAAAAGAAAGGAGTAAAATTATTTTGGATTGTATTGGAGAGGCACAATCAGCTGTAACTACGAGCCATCATTTTACATTTTTTTTCCTGCCCAGGACACACAAGCAGTGCTGTGTCCCATCTAGTATCATAAACAACACCAACAAAAAAAATTTTACAGATGAATTTGAGGCTACCATTCATTCTTGTGATATAAACTATTTACAGCACAAAAACTTAAGTGAAAAAATACACCTAGGCAACCTCCCCTTTCTCAACTTCTTAATCCATTACTGCAAACCCTCAAAGACTACACAAACAGAAAAATACTACTTCCTTTGCCTTGGTTCAACACATTTAATTAAATAGCATCTGCCAGAAATCTCTGCATTTAACATACAGCTCAATATGCTACAGACAGAAAATTTGTGAAAAAGAAAGAATTAATGCTCATACATTATCTGATTTTTTACCTTGCCTCATCAACATTAGCTGATGCTCATGTCTAGCTGCTTCCATTTCTGCCTCTAGTTTCTCTTTGGCTTCTCTAATGTTCCTGTCAACCTGTTCACGCTGTTGCTTTTCCATCTCATCAAGAGCCTTCCAACGTGAAGCATACTCAAACTCAAATGTTCCAGGTTGAGCAAAACGTGGAGGCTGTTCTCTTTCCCTAATAAAAATTTTGCAGTTAAAATGTACAGAAGGACACATTAAGATCAACAGCCATAACAGCCAAAGAATTCACAATCAATCACTTCAAATGTAGGAATCTGATGCAAAGTCAGATCTGCGTCGCAAACCAGTTTGTCAGTTTAATTCAGCTGTTAATGTGGTAAGTAATCTGATCAGAGAAATCTTGCAAATAAATATCTACTCCATTTATATAATCAACACAAAAACGTTTAATTACCATGCTACAAAACATTTAGCTGTGACATTAGAAGGGTGAACCCAGCTAATCTAAAGTGGTCACATCATATAAGAAATTAAGTGCATATTAAAGCTTACTAAACAGTTCAGACTGTTAGTAAGAATATTTAAATATTTAAAGGAGCCAATACTTCATTCACATTCTAACACTAGTGCTTTAATGATTTTTTTTTTCCAAGTATTACTCTACAGGTTTAACTGCTTACCAGAGTAAGTATTTTAGTTTCAAGCTGCAACATTTCTAAATAGCAATCAGATCTGAATGTTACAAGTAATATTCTCTAACGAAGGAAAACCCTCTTTCACCTCATGCTAAAGACTCTTTTTTGCTCAAAATTACATCCAAATCACAGAAGCTGCCAAGATTTATACCTCAGTGACTCTACAGAGAAGGTGGTGCTAGTCAAGAGGATAGAATTCTGTGGGTGTACACATCTCTGCAGGATCAGACCACAGCCCAAGCTCACAAAAGACTATCAGCGACTGGCAGTAAGCTCCAGCTGATTTCAGCCAAGACCAGGAATCTCTACCTCAGTAAAATCACAGAATGCTAAACCGACAAGACTCCATTTTACTGTGATTAGGAAAACGAAAAAATTTGCTTGTTAATCTTTAGAAATCAGTGGAACAGTACAATAGTTAGGTTGGAAGGAGCCTAAAAGATCCTAAGGTTCAACAGCAGGGACCTGGGGGTGCTGGTGACAGCAGCTCAGCACCAGCCAGCAGTGCCCCAGCAGCCAAGGGACAGACCACCTTTTGGGGAGCATTAAACACAACATGGCCAGCCAGTCCCATGAGGCAATTCTCCCACTGTGTTTAGCACTGGTGCAGCCCAGCCTTAAGTACTGCATGTAGCTCTTGGCTCTAAAGCATAAAAAAGATGCAAAGGTACCCAAAAGCATTCAGAGGCAGGCAATAAAGCTGGCAGGACTGCAGGGTACATCCTATGGGTGGCAGAACACACTGTTTATCTAATTTAGAGAAAAGGAAGGGAAGTGCAGACAGAAGTACCAGGCTCTTCTCTCTAGTAACCAATGACTAATGGGAGACAAGGAAAAAAATTCTTTACCATGAGGGTGGTTCACGCCCTGTGCTTGTTGGTGGTCAAGAGGCAGCTGGATAATGCCGTAACTTTTGGTCAGCCTCAAGTGCTCAGGCAGTGGACTCAATGATCTTTGAAGGCCACTTCCAACTGAACTATTCTAATGCCAATTCTGAATACAGAAATGACACATCGCTGTTCTGTGGGAAAAAGTTAACTGACCTAACATCTGGCTTCCTCTTGGCTGTACAAAATAAACATACACAAACCTGAAATAAAAATATTACCTTACTAAATACTTACTTAGTATCTTCATTTTATAAAGTTAAAAGTCAAACCGAACTTACTTGTGGTACTGTTGTGTTTTTTGCATTAGCTTCTCTGGGAGCCCATCCTCATCATCAAATTGCTCCATTGGCTCTACAACAACAGGCCGAGGTGTTCTGGAAGAGAATTCCAATTGAATAACTGAATAACGAAAGAAACAGTAAAATAAGCTGCTCTGGTATTTTGAAGCAGCACCTTTGGAAACTAACATACATATTATCTCACCGTCCTGTCCCGCAAATTCTTCTGAAATAACAAAATTCCAATTAATCCTAATTTCAAAAATCACCTTTGAAAGTAACAACTGGTTCTACACCCAAAACCAGCTGTGCAATTCTGCATAGAAAATACAACTTCATGTAGTTTTGGTTGCCAAGAAATACAGGAATATTTGAAGCTGAAAAAAAATCTCAAAAACATTACAAATTACTTAGACAGTGTGGGAACCATCATTATAACAGTACAGCACGAAACAAAGCCAAAAGGTAGCAATATTCACTCTGAACAGATTCTAATTATGGTTACTCTACAACTAAAAACAGCTTGATATTTTTGCAATGATTTTTCTATTTCCAGAATAACTTCTACATAATGTGGAATGCATTCTTGGAGTTTGCAGTATTTGAAGTAATCAGAGTCAAGTATTAGCTAAGGATGGATAACAATAAAATCTTCAATTGTATATAAGAACTACACCAGTTTTGGGAGCATCTAAATAATATCTTAAAATTTTACGAGCTACAAAGGTCCTATTGTCAAAACGCCAGCACTTTGGATTTTGTTCCACACTTTAAAAAAAAAAAAAAAAAAAAACCTTTGCAGATCACAGAAAACAAAATGTTTGTATTTTAAGAACATGGACAGCTGGAAAAAATTGTTAGGCATCAAGGGGGGGGGGAAAAAACAGCCTGGAATCGCAGCGTACAGCATTTCAAGTATTTCTCCTCTCTGAATAGAAAGGAGAAATCTTAGATCTCCTTTAAAATATCAAGTTCCTAATTTTGAAGCAAAACAAAAACCATCACAGCACAAAAACTATCATAGGAGATTCATATTAATTACATTAGCTTTGGTGTCTGATGTGTTTCCTAATGTGCAGCTGAAAGACAAAGATCAAGTGCTTTTTATTCACTAAGTCATGGTTAGATGATCACTTCCATCAAACAAAGCTAGCCAGCAACTACTAAAACAAGAATATCCTCACTCGTATCCAGCTTCTTTTTCCCCCTGCCACATCTCTCATGCCAAGAATAGTCCTCATGTAACACTATAGCATTCACTGAACTAGATTAGTTGCCTGGTTTGGCTCACCATGCCTCCACTCAAACACTAATGCCAAGAAAATCCACAACAAATAAGAACAAACTGCCAGTGCCTACTGATAATAACAGAGACTTAGACTGAATTTACTATGTATCCACCAGAATTCAGTCCAGTCACACATACGATTTATGATATTATTATCAGCAAGAGGAGTTCCAAATCCTTTTTCCACCTGCCATCTCATCAGAGCAACATATTTTCCTGCCTTACCCTCAGCTGGACCTGGTGCTCTTAATACCCAGGTGAGCAAGCACCTTCACTTTCTAAAACAGCCAAAAATGAACATAACAAAAGCAGCCACATACCTCTCCTCTGTTTCACTAAGCACAGGTGGCTATTGGAAGTATCAAACAGCTCTGAAGGTAAATGCAGCCTGAATCAGAACTGCAACTTCCCAACAGTATGGCAGCAAGCCTTGACACTGTGAAACTGCAGCCCTATTTTCCCAAATTATATGGGGTAAAAAAAAAAAAAAAAAAAAAAAACAAATACATTCTTGAACATCTACCATTTCACTCAGCCTTTATGAAAATACTGGAAGCTGTCCCTAGCTACCATATAAAAAAGCACAGCAGTTAACAACTCTTTTCATTGGGTACCAAAATAAGAGATGGTAGAGCAAAGTACCATAATCCACAAGCTTGCTTGACCTTGAAATTTTTCCAGAAATTTCTGCCATCAACTTGTGCAAAACAAGTTCACAAGAAAGAAAAATCCTACAGCTTTGAAAGATACAAATAAAGCTTTCTTGAAGACAAAAAGCCAAATAACATTTTCCCAAGTTTAAAGAATTATCAGCAAAGTCGCGCCCCCCGTTAGCCAAGAAGCACATCCTTACACGGTATCAGTACTGGGATCAGGAAGAGCTCAATCAGTGAAAATAAAGACTCATTAAGAAGAGCCCTATTAAACAGGCTGGAATCCAAAATTACAAGACTTGTAAGCAAACGAGTGGCTTTATTTTTTATTCGCCAGTGTGGAGAATGATGTATTTCAGGCAGTCACGTAAAGCACCTTTAATTTCTGATCTCACGGCTTTCATGATTTGAAAATAAGAACTATGGAATGCCCGCGAATGCATTTTTCTTTCACATGAGAAATGCATACTCGACACAAACGCAAACAAAATCCCGTGGACTTACGTTGTTAGCAAGAATGCACCATCACTGCATCTTTCTAGAGCTTTCCGTGCCGGAGGTTTTGCCGCAAACTCTACGAAACCTTTTCCTGTAGCTCTGCCGCGATCATCTACTACAACTACAGCTCTCTCCACAGGTCCAAACTGAGAGAATGCTTGTTCCAGCAGCTCATTAGAAACCACGGGTGAAAGATTCTTGACTGTTAGGGCAGCTCCATGCGTAGCAAATCGAATTCGAAGTGGTCTGCTCTTCAAAATAGTACCATCAAGTTCTGCTTTTGCTATTTCGGCCAGTGTCCTAGATTCCTTTTTCAAGATACAAAATATTGTATGTTTTATTTACAAAGACAACAGACATAGCTTTTGTGCTGTTGTTCCTCCCCTCAAACCCCAGAAAAGTAGCATTTTTTCTTCCTTTAATAGGAGCTCATTTTTCATTAGGGTCACTTAGCACTCATTTTTGCCTTCCAAAAGTTCCTATCCACTGACTGCCATAATATGCACTTTTCATCTCGTACGATTTAGTCTAAAAAAAGTTATTTAGATGCACATTTTTCTTACACATCAGAGGACACAGCATTCCCATTATCACAAATACGCCTGCACTGCACTGTAAAGGCTTTCTGCAGAGTTGAGAATTTGACGCCTTTTTATATTTACCTACTGAAATGCTTAGCTTCACACAGGAGCTGTTCTTTACAGAACAGTATCTTCAGAGACCGCACTACAAGACCTAAAGGCCGGTGCTTCTGGTTGCTTTCTGGGATTATTTATTTTTTTTAAATCGATGAAAATATGCTTTGAAAACAACTTGCTTGTTGCTACCATTGGATAAACTCTCCACGTGTGTCTAATTCTCATCATTTCATGAAATTACATTGCAACTGCTGTATTAATTCCTCTCACACTTACAGGTTTTCTGCACCCACATCCATGAGACAAGTCCATCTCAATAACTGCCTTTTTCTCACCTCAGAAACCCTCAACTAGTTTTATACCTGCAATCCCAAATATTTAAACAAATAATTCTCAAAGTGGCAGCCATTTTCTCCACACCTTGACCAACCACACAAATGGTTTAAAAATATTACTCTATTAGTATAGTGCAAAAGGGACATTTGGGTAGATACTGATCTCTACTACGTGCAGAACTGAGTAATGTACGCAAATATATTGCACTCCCTATAGAAAACTGTTAATTCAGGTTGCGAGAACTCTGTCACAGTAAAAAAAAGATAGCAGGATGCCACATTTACCTGTGACAAGCAAAAGATGTAAAAAAAAAAAAAAAAAAAAAAAAAAAAGCGCCTAACCAGCAAAACGTGCAGAAAAATCTTAAGTACAGTTGGCACAGAAAGCACTTTAAAGCTTTTCTCTGAACTCAGTAAATCAGAACATCCTAGACGTGGCAGTCAGGAAAACTAATCCTGCACATGGAACTGAAAAATGTAAATGCAGCATGACACGCTTTGAGGATGATTTCTTTTTTGAACACTTGATTTGAAATAATACTGGTTAAATTATATGAGCCCGAGAATCGTTAAATTCAGACAATTCTAAGTTTCCAATTCGGTACAAGCGTGAATTACATGTTCTGAGCTTTCAATACGTGTGAGCAATGGTATTTCAAAACAGATCCGTGCAATCTTTAAAATTAACTGCATGAGGAAATACTCATAAAGAACCGCGCAAAACGAAATTTGCTTCGGCACCGAGAGTCCTAAAGTACAATAAAACGCTCCCAGTTAACGAAAGAAAAATCGCTTTACGGGTATTCAACGAATGGAGCAGATCGCACAAGAACTCCCGCTGGCCGAGCTGCGGGAACAGGGCGAGCAGCCCGTCAGCGGGGGAGGAACCCGAAACCCGCACGGCCCCGAGGGGGGAACGCCAAGGGCTTACAGCGCGGCTCCGGCTGGGGAGCGCGGGGCGAGGGGGCGGAGAGCAGCGCGAGCAGCGAAGGACAAAAAGGGAACGCGGGGCAGCGGCTGCGCTTCACGGCCGCCCCGCGGGGAGAGCGGGGCGGGCTGGGGTGGGGCAGGGCCGGGCAGGGCGGGCCGCAGAGCCCCGCGAGAAGCTCACCAGGCGGATGAAGCCGAAGCCGCGGTCCCGGTTGATGAAGACCTCGCTGGGCTCCCCATAGCGCTCGAAGAGGCGCTTGAAATCTTCCTCGGTGATGTCGGTGGGCAGATTGCCCACGAACAGGCGGCAGCGCTGCGTGTAGCTCTTCTCGCCGGGTTTGAGAAAGCTTTTGATGTCGATTGTGAACCCGCCCTCCTGCTCCTCATCCCCGCCCTCCTTGCCCGGCACCAGCGCCATGGCCGCCGCCTCGTTCTCCGTCTCCAGGCCCCGCAGCCCCTTCAGGCCGCCGCCACCGCCCCCCACCATCCCCAGCGGCGCCGCTGGGGAGCTGTTCTCGATCCGCACTTGCTTCAAGTTCCGATTCGCCGCCATGCTCAGCCCTCGCTCCCTTCTCCCCGCTTTTCTCGGGGGGTGCGGAGCCGCGCTCGGCAGCCACTGCCTCCGATCCGCAGCCGATTCAAAATGGCGCCGCAGCCGCCCCCGACGAGTTGCAACGTCCCCGCGGCCGGCCCCGCCCACCGGCCGCTGCTCTCTCTCGCCGGCCGCTACGCCTGCGTGCCGCGCTCCCCGCGGCTCCTCGAAAGGAGGGGGGAGTGGGCTACGCACGCGCCTCGCCTCGCGGCACGGCGGGGCTGAGGAGGCGCTGCGGCCGCCTGTGGCGGGCCGGTCTCCTTCGGGCGCCGTAGTCACCGTTCGGCTCTGGGAGCTGGGCGAGCCCGCGTCGGACCGCGGGAGAACGGCCTTCGCATCTTCGGGGCCCTGGGGCTCAGCCCAGCCGGGAGCTTCCCCGCCGCTTTCAGCCAGCGCGGCTCCCTCGGGCCTTACCCGCCCGCCGCGAATCCGGCCGTGCTCGGCGGATCGGTGCTCTGAGGCGCGTTCCGATCGCGCGCGCTCCGCTGCGGTCCGTACCGAGGCGGGAGAACACCCTGCGGAGCTCTGCGCCGAACGGAGGGCGGAGGGCGGCGGTACCCGCGCTCGACGCCGAGGAGACTGCAGGGAACGGCGCAGGCAGTCGAAGAGCCGAGCGCTGTGGAGGCAGAGGGAGGGCCCCGGGCTGCGGGAACGCGCCCACTGTTGGGTGCGGGCGGCACGGCTGCGGGGGCAGGCCTTACTGCGCGGGATGCCGGCACGGCGCTGTCCTGCGCGGCCGCTGCCGCCCTGTGAGGGGGCGGCTTTCATTCAGACAAAGCGCTGTGCTCTGCCTGCGGCCTCGGAGGGACCTGATAAAAGAAATTGTTCTTGCTTCCGATTCCCACTGTAGCTGAGCAAGACCTCGGAAGAAAACAACTTTTTTATTCATACAGCTATAACAATTAAAAAAAAAAATAAAACAGCACCTGTAGAGAACCTTCTGTGATTAGTATTTATTTAGCTAATCCATGACATGGGCTGTTCTTTTTCAAAGTAGCAATAAGCGTGATCCTGAAGAAGTTAGCTCTGCAGCAGGCGTGAGTGCTTTGCTGAGCAATTTCACAGAATTAGAATGTCCTGTGTTGGAAGAGACCTGTAACGATCATCGAGTCCTACTCCTGGCTCCACGCAGCACCAGCCAAGAATCAGACTGTATGTCTGAGAGCATTATCCAGAGAGAGACGGTGTTGTTCAGTCTGGAGGCTCAGGAGACAGCTAATCACTCTCTGTAACTACCAGAAGGGAAGCTGTAGTGAGCTGGGGGTCGGCCTCTTGTGTGATTGTACTAGAGGGAGTGGCCTCAAGTTGCACCAGGGGAGATTTAGGCTGCACGTTAGGAAATGGTACTTCTCTGAAAGAGTGGTCAAGCAGTGGAATGGGCTGCCCAGGAAGGTGGTGGAGTCACTGGCCCTGCAGGTGTTCAAGGAACATTTGGACATTGTGTTGAGGGATGTGGTTTAGTGAGAGCTATTGGTGATATGTGGATGGTTGGACTGGATGATCTTGTGGGTTTTTTCCAACCTTGGTGATTCTATGATTCTTTCCAAAAATCTAACAGCCTGTATCTGGATGGCATAGATGCTGGCATTAAGGGGCTGCGTGGCCCTGAGCAGCTAGGAGCTAGTCTGAGCCTTGCTGCCACTGGGCAGTAGCACACACGAACAGGTGTGCACATGTGCGTGCACGCAGGTTCACACACACACACACACACACGACTGCCCTGGTGATAGAAGATACAGAGAAAGCAGTGTTACTGAATGCCTTCTCTTGTCTCTGCCTATGCAGATGGAGGCTGTCCTGAGGAGTTACGTACCCCCTGAGGCCCCAGAGGAAGTCAGGATCAAGAAGGAGTTTGCCTCAGTTGATGAGGACTGGCCTAAAGATCAATTAAGCAATCTGGACATCCATAAATTCATGGGTCCTGATGGGATGCACCATGGGTGCTAAGGGAGCTGGTGGAAGTCATTGCTGGGCCACGGCCACTCTCTATTGTCTTTGGTAAATTGTGGGGAACGAGATAGATGCCTGAAGACTGGAGGAAAACAAATGTCATTCCAGTCTTCAAAAAGGGCAAGAAGGGGGACCTGGGTAATTATAGACTGATCAGCGTCACCTCCATCCCTGGAAAGGTGATGGAAAAACTTATCCTTGGCACTGCCTCTAAGCATATCAAGGATAAGAGGATAAGAGGTCAATAGGAGCAGACAACATGGCTTCACCAAGAGGAAGTCATGCTTGACCAACCTGATAGCCTTTTATGAAGACGTAACCAGGTGGGTAGATGATGGCAAAACAGTGGATTTGGCGTGTCTTTGTTTTAGTATAACATTTGACACTTCTCCCACAGCATCCTCGCAGCTAAACTGAGGAAGTGTGATCTGGACGATCGATTGAGTAGTGAGGTGGACTGGCTGAAGGAAAGAAGACAGAGAGTTGTGGTCAATGGGACAGAGTGAGTCTAGTTAGAGGCCTGTACCTAGTGGAGTCCCTCAAGGGTCAATACTGGGACCAGTGCTGTTCAATATATTCATCAGTGACATGGATGAGGGAGCAGAGCGTGCTGTTAGCAAGCTTACTGATGACGCAAAACTGGGAGGAGTGGCTGACACGCCTGAGTGCTGCCACTCAGCGAGACCTGGACAGGCTGGAGACTGAATGAAATATAACAAGGGCAAGTGTAGAGACTTGTATCTGGGCAAGAACAACCCCAGGTACCAGTATAGATTGGAGACTGACCTGTTGGAGAGCAGCACAGGGGAAAGGGACCTGGCCGGTCCTGGTGAACAGCAGGGTGACCACGAGCCAGCACTGTGCCCTTGTGGCCAAGAAGGCCAATGGCATCCTGGGGCATCCTAGAAGGGGCATGGTTAGTAGATGGAAGAGGTTCTCCTCCTCTTCTACTCTGCCCTGGTGAGACCGCATCTGGAGTATTGAGTCCAGTTCTGCGCCCCTCTGTTGAAGAAGGACAGGGAACTGCTTGAGAGAGCTTGAGAGTCCAGCACAGAGCCACAAAGATGATGAAGGGACTGGAGCATCTCCCTTATGAGGAAAGGCTGAGGGACCTGGGTCTCCTTAGCTTGGAGGAGACTGAGAGGTAACCTCGTTAACATTTGTAAATATGTAAAGGGTGTGTGTCAGGAGGATGGAGCCAGAGTCTTCTCAGTGACATCCAGTGACAGGACAAGGGCAATGGGTACAAGCAGTAACATAGGAAGTTCCACATAAATATGAGAAAAAACTTCTTCATGGTGAGGGCAACAGAACACTGGAGTGGGCTGCCCAGAGAGGTTGTGGGGTCTCCTTCTCTGACAACACCCAAAATTTGCCTGGACACATTCCTCTATGACCTAATCCAGGTGGTCCTGCTAAGGCGAGGGGATTGCACTAGATGAGTTTTAGAGGTTCCTTCTGTATGGGAAGTGCTGAGTTACAGCCTGAACCTCTGATTGATCACCTGAGGTGAGCAATGAGTCAGCCAGAGGAGCACAGGTGAAGGTTATTCACCCGTGCTGCCAGAAGGGGTGGAGCCAGTCTCCAACCCTCCTAGACCTATTTAAGAGCTGGCTACAAGTAGAGAAGAATCTCATCTGGAGATCTTCTCTGCTAGAGTTTTATAGGTGAGCCCAGGATGTGGGTAAGATTTCAATCCTCTTCTTGTTATCGTTATCTGATTTACCAAACTCTATTGTTTATTTTGTAATTATAACGTCTTAATATTGATTGATTATAGACCCTCTGTGATTCTGTAAGTGGTATAGAGAAAAAAAAAGCAGCTATTAAAATGAACACTTGATTAAAAAAAACACTCTTCACATCTTAGAAAAGATTCTGGCATTTAGATATTTATTAAAAACTAATACAATTTCTTTAGCTCATTCTCTCTTCTCTCCTCTCTCTGTTCACTTCTCTCCCCTCCTTGCCTTAAACACTGTTTTTCAACATAGCCACCATCATGAGCTCTGCATTTTTGCCACTCACGAACAACAGCCTGCATGTCATGCTCATAAAAATTGCACCATTAGAGGTGACCTGCTGCTGCTGTCACCACTGCTGAAACATACCACCCATGGCTTCACTATGCTCCCATCTACTGTTTTTGGTCTCCATAAACATTCAGCAAGCATCAATGAATGTCACTGGGTGTCCTTCTTTTCCCGCATGGAGGAACTGAATGACACACTTCACATGCACTTCCATGTCGGATGCCAATTTGTCAGACTGTCCCACTGCTAACGCCTATCACACAGCAATAAAATGTAACAGAATATTTGTGGTAAGGTTCAACGTCTACTACCATACTGCCAACATCTGCCTCTGACATCTCAGGTCAACGTGACAAAATAGGAGGCATTACTTTCAGAGTAACCCTCATAGTTTCACTATGGTGTCTATTACTCCACCTAAGCCAGTAACATGGTTGATTCTTGATTAGACAGCTTTGATTCCAGATGGCTTTTATGTTCTTTAAAGCAGGTAGTCCAGCAAAAGAGAATTTATGATAGTGTACTTAGGTAGATATTATTGAATGCCTTGTTTCATGCTTGCAAGGGGCAAACATTAGAGAGGCCAACGTGGGGAAAAAAAAAAAAAAAAGGTGGTAGATGGATTTCTAGAGAACTTTATGTATATTTATCAATGAATATGTAAATGTGTTATTCCATCTCACACCTTTGAAAGGCTTACTGTAGCAAAGACTAGGATTAGAATATTTTTTGTAGTTTGAGTACTCTAAGTTGTACATACTAAGTCACACAGGCCATTAGACAGCACCTAACGTGCAGGATAAGGGAATTCAAGATGGTAAATCAGCCATAGTGGGAGCTCAACTCAAATGTCTGCATACTAATGCATGAAGCAAGGGGAACAAGCAAGAGGAGTTGCAGGCATACATATACCTACAGGGCTATGATGTCATTAGCATCACTGAGACACGATGGGATGGCTCTCAGGACTGGACTGTACGAATAGACTCCTCAGGGAGTCTAGTGATCCTTGCCTTGCTTTTCCCCTCCTTGGCTTGCTTTTCCCCTCCTTGCCTCCAGCTCTATCATTGAAGTGAAGACTCTCTTATTCTCCTCCATGTCTCCCTAGAAAAACAAGAGTCACAATTTCAGTAATTTTTACCTCAAACAGCCTTTGAGGGGGGGGAAAAAAAAATGTTTCTTTCTCCCGGGATCTCTCTGGCATGGGCAAGCTACAGCTGTGACCGCAGCTTCAGCTAAAGCCGGAGTGCCAGTACCTGTCTGTGGGCCCATGCAGCTGGAAGAAGTTGTCGATCATGACTTCTGTGTGACAGCTTGTGAGGATGACCACTGCCTGGCACAGGAAGGGCATGGATGTGCTCTGCTGCACAGATGATGTGTAGCTGTGCAGGATGTAGAGGATTGGAGACACCTGAAAGAAGAAGGGGAGAAAGAATGACTTGCTGCATCCTTGACTCTGCAGGGAGTAACCACGGACATTCAGTGCATGAGTGGTGCCTGCTCCCTTGACATGCTGCCAAGGCCTAAGCCTAAATTTCATGCCAGCCACCCTGTCCATGCCCTGGCTCAGCGTTCAGGCTGTGCTTCTTCAGCACAAGAGGAAAGCAGCACAAGGCATAGTGCAACAGCTAGCAAAAGTGCCAGACACGTGGAAGAAAGTCTCTTACATCCCAACAGATGTCCTTTCTGTACATCTGCAGAAAGGTGGTCATCTACTTCCCAGCAGCACGCACACGCACTCCTTTGGCTCTCCTGAAGGTCTCCTTGATGGCCATCATGAAGTCAACGGTGCGTTCTAGAGGGAAGTTTCTGCACATGATCTGCAGAGAAATGAGAAGCAAGGGAGATCCTATCACTGCTCTGCGGCAGCTCTTCAAAACATAAAGCAGTCTTGAGGGCATTCTTAATTCAGCAGCTTGCCAGTCATTCATGCAGCAATCACAATGCTCCTGCTGTCTGTACCCTGCTGTTTATACAGCATTCTCTCAGCTTCTCCACCCATGGTGTTTGCTTACATGCAAAGCCTACCTCCCAGCAGCCACAGTCACACATGCCACAAAGACACACAGTCACACACAAACACACATGGAGTCAGCTCCTTGCACTGGGCACCTGAAGGCCAGGCATAGCTCAGAGCCTTCTGCTACTTGCTGAGAAAAGCAGTCTCAGGGTGACAGCTCATTCCGCTGTCATCAGTGCAGGGTTGTGCACCACTCCCTCCTGTAAACAGGACCCAGCCCGTGGGGCTCTGGTAGTGCTGCGGGGGAGGGCAGAGGACTGGCGCACGCCTGCTCTACTCACCTTGGATTTGGAGAAGGGAGCTGAGGCAGGTGACAGCCAACTGGTGGGATGTGGGCATGGGGTCACACATCAGAGGTGCCAGCAATCCCACCAAGGAGCCAAAGTGCTCCTAGGCATCTCCTCTCTGCAGGGGTGAGAGGCAGGAATAAATCTGTAGGTGGCCCCAGCTTCTCCTGCCTGTGCCTTCCCCACACTGTGACACAGCATGCACAGCTGAGTGGAGCTCACCTGCTAGCTCAGGGGCACAGGGGAGGGAGCAGAGGGCATGTGGTGGGGCTCTTTACTCACTTGAAACTCTTCACAAACAGTCAGCAGCTGGGAGCAGGTCTGCAGGGCCCTCTTGTGCTCCCACACATTGTCTGATGTCATAGATCTCTGCAGGACCTGTGGCAGAGCATCTGTCTCACTGAGGACGTCTTTTCTTTCCCTTCCTCCCACCCCTCTGCCTGTCCCTCCTTTCCTGACACTTTTCCTCAGGGCCCCCTGCACCACCACTGCTGCTCCTGCTCTCTGCAGACACTCCTGCCTCCTAACCCAGGAGCTTTTCCTTGGCTGTGGCTTGCCCCAGGCATGGGCTCCTGCCTTTCCCCCTGCAGGGCCCATTTCCCTGCCCATTTTTGAGCTTGCAGTGAGCTGTGTGGCAGCAGGAGATTTCTCCCCCTCTGACCGCCCTCTCAGTCCCCAGATCTCTGTCCCCGCTGTTGACAGTTACCATGCTTTCTCCCTTACCCCCCCACATACTCACATGGACTATGTTCTGGAAAAAGCCACAGGTGGGCTCTGTCTTGAGCAGAACTGCCATAAGCTGGCCCAAAGATTTCAGTGATGTTTGCTGAAGCTGAAAGCAGAAGAGGGGATTGAGGTGTGGCATCGTGGCTGCTGCCAGAGCATAGGTTGTGTGTGCTGAGATAGGGCTCTGACCAAGAGGTGGCCGAGAAAGTTATGATAGGTTACCTGCAGGTACTGAGCTGCTTGCTGTGACTTTCTGATCTTCAGCATCATCTCTGCTGAAGGGTGCATCACAATGTTCTTGCAGCACAGAATCAATATTTCACGCTTTCTAAAGAGGGCTTCAGCTTGCTGACAGGAGGAAAAAAGGAGAAAGCAGTGAACTACTCCTGCTCTGAAGGGAAGGAGACCCCAGGTCTGCCTTCTCTTCCCTGCAAGGGAACAGAAGCACCAGGGCCTTTCTCCCTGCCCAGAATCTCAGCTTCTCTGGGCACAACAGCCCAGCTGTCTCTCCTGTAGATGCAGCTCCTCCCCCCAGCCCCTCCACGCCTTTGGCAGCTATCCAAAATGGGGACCATCATCCTGCCTTGCAACCCCAGACCTTATCTCAACTGCTCCAGGGCCAGAACCAACTTGAGGGGCACTGGGGAGACAGGGATTCCTGAGTAGTAGTACTTCAGCAAGTCCTGCAAGTCCCAGAGAGACAGTGTCAAAGTGGGCAAGAGGCACACGAGAGCTGTTCTGTCTGGCCCAGAGACAGACACAACTGCCACACACCAGCCCCATCACTCCCACATTTCCCATGGTGACACTGCAGGATGCAGCATCTCCACGGCTGGTGGACCTCGCCTGCTGCCCAGCTGCTGCCTGCCAGCACCCAAGGTCCCCACCAGCTGGAGATGTGGCTGAAGGAGACCTTTATGCCTCCAGAGAAGCGAGCCCCGTGGCACAGCCAGGAACTCTACTGCAGACAGCCCTGTCTCTAGGCACTCACCATCAGGATCTCCAGAAGCTTGCCCTTGAAGGAAGGGTTAAAGCAGGCAGAGTCATCCACAGCTTGCAAGGATGAGCTGAAGTCGGTGATGCTCTGCACCAGCGCAAGGTTGTTCTGCAAGTCCTGAGGCCCAAGAGAGAAGAACATGCTTTGAATTGCGGGAAGGGCCGAGGGCTGCAAGGGGGACACGTGGGCAATGCTGAGGGAAAGCTTGGATCTTCATCTGGGCACAGACGGTCCCCCAAGGGACCTTTGAAAAGAGAAGGCCCATCTCAGCATCCCCCCATTTGGAGGGGCTGCATCGGGTGCTGAGACACCCTGGCACGCTTCAAGTTCTCACCTGGCAGCTGCAGCTGTAGAGCATCAGGATGTTGCCCACGATGTCTCCCTCCAGGTGGACAAGCAGCTGTTCCTTGGAGGCACGCAGTGCCAAGCTGCCATGAGCGAGCATGAGAGCGCTGCGTGTGGCATGAGCTCTCGTGCTGTCCAGCTCCATCTGTGTGGGGAGAAATGCCTTGAGTCACTTGCTCCACGGCCCCCAGTGCCCCGCGATGCACCTGTGCTCCCAAGGCAGGAGCTGCTGCGAAAATAAGGCAGAAGAATGCCAAGATAGAAACCCGTAACACTTTACCTTCTTGCACCTGGAAATCCTCGCATTCCAGCCTTTGCACAGCCTGGATGCAAACACGGTGAGTGTGTCCAGGACTGGGTGGAATTTGCCCTCAGCAGCATGGCTGAGAAGAGAGATTATTCCCTGCACAAAAGAGCAGTTGGCGCAGGCCTGAACCTACTGGTGCGGCCAACCACAGTGACTGGCCGGTCCTTGCCTGAGGGAAATGGCAGCAGTGAGGAGATCAAAAGGCCTGGAGCAGGGCCAGGAGAAGCCCTCTGCCCCAGGGATGGAGCAGGGATGCTCACAGAAGCTGGAGGAGAGCTCACCTGGGCCTCCGATGGCTCCTCCGCATTTGCTTCCTCCAAGTGCTGCAGCAGCTTCTCTTGGACGTGGAGGACTCCCTTACAAGCTCCCAGTGCTGTCCCCAGAGCCTTGTACAGGAAAGCCTGATGGGAAGGGAAGGAAGAAGCTGAGATGTGGCAGCAGCCTGACCTGCTGGGAGAGGGCCAGGTGGGAAGGACCCACTTCCTGGGAGCCACTGAGAGCAGCTGCAGGGCCGAGCTTTAGCAGCCTCCAGGCAGACTGCAGGGAAAGGCCCTCTGGGGGGCACGGACCAGGGAAGCAGCATGAGCAGCCCGCGTGGGCAGAGCACCAGCCGCAGCTCCAGCCCCAGTAGGGCACCTGCAGCTGAACTGCTGGGTAGAGCCAGGGGGAACCCACCTTTTCTCCAGAGCTGCTGGGAGAACTGCTCAGCCACCGGCTCAGCTCGCAGCTCAGGGCCTCGATCCAGGCCTCATCACGGATGGTGTCCAGCGACGCCCTCAGGAACTGTTGGAGAACAGGAGAAGCCAAAGTTCCCTTGCCCTCTGCCTCTTCCCTCGCTCCCAAGTTGCTGCAGACTTCTGGGGAGAATGCCTGCAAGAACAGTCTCTCTCCCAGCTGCCCCAGCATTCCCTCCATTAAAGCCGCCTGCCTCTCTTCTCCTAAGGCCCCCCAGGCTTGGGACAGAGAGGAACAGGCAGCACCACAAAGGCGTACAGCTGCTCCGCTGCAGCATTTGAGAAGCTGTTCCTGTCCCACAGTGGCTCATATGGGAGCAGGGCTCCTTGAGGCAGGCAAGCACTTCTCTGCACCGCGCCTCCCAGCACTGCTGTACCTTTAGCAGATGGCACTCCCACTCTGCAGGGTCCGGGAAGCTCTCATCTTTCCCTGCACAGCAATAGGAAGCAAAAGACCTTTACTTGGGGTCAGGTCACAAATGAAGAGCTGCTGCAAACTTGGCTTGGCCAGGGCACTCGACGCTGCCAAGCTGGGACCCACACTCCCTCCACAGTGTCCCTGTCCTCAAACACTGTCCCCACAGGAACACAGAACTAACTGCTCAGATTGCTGTCTGAGGGGACATGAAGGGCCCATCCGTGTTCTGGAACGGGCAGATCCCTGGGGGGAAAGGTCCCTGGGCCTCAGCCCTGGAATGGGAACAGCAGCAGAGCAAGCACCGGGCTGCAGGAAACGCTTCCCCTCTGCCATGCTATAGAGCTGCATTTTCACTCCCCCCTCCTTCCCTGCCTTGGCCTCTCCTTCCCCATCAGCGCTTTTTACCTTGGAGACACTGCAGCAGCAGGGGGATCTCAGCAGCCCACATGGCCCCCACAGCTCTGTGGAACCTCTTGTGGAGGTTTTGCATCAGCAGCAAGGCAGTGACTTGGAGTCTGCTGCCTGCAACAGGGTCCCAGACACCACCTGAGCGAGAGCAAGGAGAAGCAGGGTCACTTCTGCAGCAAGAGCAGAGGGAAGCAGCTTGGCTCTGCCCTGGCAGGCAAGGAGCAGCCAACAGCTTTGCCCATGGCCATGCTGCTTCCTCCGCGGGGGGGAGTGGGGGGGGCTCGTGGCACTGGCCTCTGGAGCATCTACTCACCAACAGGCATGCCAGCAGTGTCTGGGAAGTCAGCAGTGGGCCTGCAAGGAGAAAGAAGTGCTGAGTAAGACTCCAAGACACTCCATGCCCTGCCACAATCAGCTCCTCTGTCCCTTCTGGGTGCTAACACAGATCAGCAGAGCTCAATGGGGGAGTTTCTGCTCCTACCTTGAAACATGGAGCTGACAAAATGAGGATCCAGATGTCCTGTCAGGTCCTCTCTCTCAGCCAGGGTTTGGACACAACGAGAGACTGGAATCAGCATGCCCATGTACTGGGCTGGCACCACAAACAGCAACAGCCACGGCCACAGGAGCTGTAGGGAATGAGGCATTCCTGCCTCTGCTCAAAGATGAAGAGGACTCAGTGAGTTTCCCTGAGTCTTGTGTGCTTCAGAGCACGTTGGAGGAGGGACCTGGGGTGTTGGAATGGGATGAGGAACACGTGATGTGAAGGCAAGGAGCATCAGGAGGGCCTCTCACAGAGACATGCAGTGACTCCAGGATGCCCACGCACAGCTCCTGGAGAGCTCCTTCTTCCTTGGCTTCCTGGGCAGAAAGGTCTCCGGCTGCCTGCACAACAGTGGTGTTGAAACACCGGTTACTCTCAGTTCTCAGGAGCCTCTCAGGAGGCTCAGGTGTGGCCCCACCGGAGCTTCTGTGCCAGCCTCTGACAGCACGGGGTCTTCCAACAGAAGGTGCTGCCTACTGTCCTTACCCTTCTTCCTGTGGCGCGGCTGAACTCATTGAAGATGTGCCCCACCACATCCCAAGCTGAGCAGATCCTTGATGAAATACAGAACAGCCCTCCTCACCTGCAGGGGTCAATTGTGGGTGTGATTTTCCTGGTCAGAAGGCAAAGGGAAGCCACCTGCTCATCGGGGCAGCCCTTTGGGCATGAGCACAGACAGCAAGAGCAGAGGTCCATGCACAGCACAGGGACCCATCCTCTCTGCCTGCTCTTCCCACAGGAGCCATAGTGACCATGTGGTCAATGCCCCAGCAACCTCCCTGGTCACCCCTGCCCTGCCCGTGTCAGTAGGAGCATCACCACCCCAAAAGCACTTTCCTTTCCCAAAAGAGCTTGCCTGAGTCCTGGAGTCATTGCACACACGCTGCACAGCCTCTGCAACCTGGGGCAGCATCTCTGTCATCACAGGCTCTGCAAGAGATGCACAGAAACATGCGTGGAGGCACAACCCAGATGGCAAAGGGATCCCTGGAAGTACCAACCCGTGGTACTTACCATCAGAGCAAACCAGAGCACTGAGCAGACCCAGGGCTGCCACACGTCCAGCCTCCCACTCATCGCCCAGCTGTGACTGCAGAAACAGGAGCGTTTCCTCTGGGCAGATTCGGGCTGCAGGAAGGAAATCCCACACTATGTTAGCGAGCAACTCATGTCCACTTGTGAGGTTTGAGAGAGAGGTTTTGGCCAGGGCTCTGGCAAGCATCGCCAATGCTCCTCTCCTTACCCTGCAGCAGCATGCAGCGGGTCAGCTCTCTGCTATCAGCCTCGCTGTGCTGCTTGGTGTCATCAGAGAGCTGTGGGAACAAGGTCCATTTGAGAAAATCACATCAGAACTGAGGATGGAAAAGACACTGTGCTGCCAGCTCTCATCTCCCTTGGCAATCTCAGGAAGAGGACACACACACAGAACCCAGACTGCCCCACAGCATTACTAGGGGCACATGCATGGCTCTGGTGCAGCCTTGGGCAAGGAAGAGCTAAGGCTGAGCAGCCATCAGAGGCTCGGAGTTTTACAGTCCTCCTGAGATTTAGCCAAGAGAGAAACAGCTGTAGCTGCAAGGATAGGCTCCCCTTATCTGGTAGAACACGGCAGTGGTGATGTCCAGAAACTTGTCCTTTGGGATGACAGACTCAACTCCCTCTAAGGCCTCCAGGAAGATAGTGAGGCTCTGCAAGAGACCAGGAGAGCCACATCTAGCCACCTGGGAGCGGAAAACTTTCCCAGTGGTTTGTCTGCTGGGAGAAGCTCCTGCACAGGTGTTCTTGTTTGTGCCCCCTCCCAGCAGCACCAAGAGAGTCTCTATGCTCTCAACTGAGCCATGCTTGGGCATTGTTTGCAGGCATTTCCCACCCAGCAGCCCTTTTCTCCCCCACCAGATGTAACTGGATGTGGTCCTCCCAATTGTTAGCACAGAGCTCCTCAGGTACTCAGAGCCCCACGGTGGTGTTGGTGAAGCCTCCCATCCCCAGGAGATGAGCCCAGTGACTCTTGGCTCCCTCCTGGCTTCTGTCCACGCGTTTCCTTCCTTACTGAAGAACTCAGGAAGCCTCAGACCTCGCATGAACACCTGTTCCTTCTTTCTCCAACTGCTCTCTGCCTCCTCCCGCATCCCTCTGACCCCTCGTGGCACTTGCTCCATCTTGCAACATCTCACCTTGGCCATGATGATGTCTTGGACCTCTTGACATGGGTGCACGAGCCAGAGGAGCTGCTCCCAGACATGCTCTCAATGCAGCTCCTCTTGCAGGAGGACAGCCATCATGGCAGTCACAGCCTCGAGGACGGCCTGTTTGTCCTGGAGATGGATGGCAGTGGCCCGGCATCAAAGACTGAAGGTCTGCCCTTCCTACAGAGAGGGCTTTCTCTTTCCCTTCCCCTTCTTCCCATTCCCCATAGCTCCATGTCCAGAAGGAGATGGGCAGGCAAGTTTTCCCCGCACCCTCATTCCCAGCTGTCCCCGCCACAATACTGTGACATGCAGCTGCTTCCTGGCAGGGAGATCCAGCCCCGAGCACAGAGCCAGTTCAGGGCCCTTTGCAGAGCCAGCCCACTCCTTCTCATCATCCCTCTGCTCTCAGCCCACTGGGCACAGACAGAGCTGCTGACATGGATGCCCCTGCCGGGCTGCAAGTACACCCTGCTGGCTCATGTCCATTGTACGTGCACTGCAGTCAACATTCTAGGATGATATACAAAAATAACCTCATTTTTGCTATATTTAAACACTTCTTCACCTTCCTTTACGCTGTATTATTTAAAGCTTTGCTCATTCATATGAACAACTGCAGAGCTCACCTGGCGCCTAACTGCCCAGAGTCTTTGTGGCGAGGTGTAACACCAGTTAGAAAAAAAAAACATTTTAAAAGGGGACAGAATGGATCCCTCATTACAATGATTTCCTTCTGTTATGAACATCCATAACAATTTTTACGGCTTACTAGTTGCAACTTGTATAATGTGAGGAGCACTGCCAAACCGTTCCACCCACCCCATAAGTTTGGTATTGCATTTGATACTTTGTATGCAGATGAACTGCAAGGAAGTCATTTCAGAAGAATGAAGGAATGACAGTTATGATCACACAGCAATTTGTTTTTCCTCTAATTCTCAAGAGAGTTGTTTTTGTTTTTTGTTTTTTGGTTTTTGTTTTTTTTCCTTTTAAGTCTAATTTTATTCAACTTGACATTCGAAAGGCCGGAGTAGAAATCTCTAATTGTGTACTAACAAAACTGATTTGGGCATAGAATTTATTTTAAGACCAGAAAAAGTTTGCAACTTTTTGCATTAGGAATATACCACGCTTCCATGAGGTACTGGACTCCCTTTTCTGCAGTATGTATAGCTTTGATTTATGATCTAGCAAATAGTTCTGTTTGTTATTTTCTTGACATACAATCTTCCACATATGCACAGCTGTCCACAGCACAATCACTATTCACATGAGAACAAGATCATTTTAGTAGTAGAAAACAAATGTAAAATTGTGAAATTCACCAGTATTTATCATTCTGTTTGCACAGTCTATGCTGAAGTGTTAACACTAACCAGAGATTCTGTTGCATGTCCAAGACACACTCCATCCAGCTTTGTGCCATATGAGACAGTCGGAGGCAACTGTTCTGTCTTTTCATTTCCTGTATCACAGCATTAGTTCCCTACCAAATGCATGAGTCTGCTGGAAATCAAGGAGACACAGACATTGATCTGCAATAAAAATCGCAAACTAGATCTATTTACCCTTGAAACAATTTCAAAGTGATTGATTGCTCAGATAACAGCACTGATAGCAGCGTTACTGCCATAGTCAGCTTTTCATCAGAGGCGATTGCCCTGGATCAGGCGGCAAGTAGTAGGTTACTGTTCAACACATTTATTACTTCCCAGGTTTCTTCTTTTTACTTCCTGCATTACATTGTGGTTTGGATTTGTACTTGTAAGTCAAGCTGTAGCAGAAGGTCGTGACAGAATATACCAGGAAGCAGTAGAGCTCTAGAGCTGAGAGCTGACAGGGAGAGAGAAACAAGGAGAGCCATGAAGTTGTGCACTGAAAGAGTAGGAAATGCTACAGGCAGTGGCTGATGGCCAGAAGCTGGGAACCCATTCAGAAGGGTGGGCAAGGGAATTGAGGCACACCTCTTCCAGGTGTGTGCAAGACGTGGCACAGGCAGGAGCTGCTGCTACTCTTCATCTCTTGCAATTAGACAGTGATTGTCTGCAATATCCCTCATGGCAATACATGGACAAATTAAGCCTGGTGTAGGTCTTGGTCTAAATTATTTAATTATTCTTACGAAGTTGCATTACAAATGTTAAAAACACTAGCTATCACAGCAATGCCAGCAACTCTGAAGGTATAACCATGACTGTATTGAGAAATAATGCCTAATGCGATCTGACAGTGAGCAATACTGTGTGATTACCTGATGAATGCCCGGCTGCTGCTCGGACTCAAGAGTGGTTACAAGATAACGTCATTGCATTGCCATCTGGCGACAAACAGTGGAATTATCAACAGGAACTTTAATGGAATACATCAAATGAAAATAAAGATTGAAAGCCTACCATAGAATTATCTCTCTGGTCCCAGATGGACAGGATGACTTGGATTTTCTATTTTTAAACCAGGTAGGCAGGCCTCCTTTCTCTCTTCTCCTCAATACAAGCATATTTCAACAAGATAGATTTGTTGTGTTGACATGAAGAGAAAAATGTATGAATCACATTTCTAAAATAATCTGTACAACATAACAGTCAGTAGCTACCTGCCGGCATACAGTTTATATGTATATATATTAATGAATGACAATCCAGTATTTCAGAATTATCTGAATCTGAAAATCAGTCTTACTCCTTAAAAGTCTCAGAAAAACAAGGACTGAAAAGATACATAAATATCTTTGTCTGTAAAACGTATGTCAGGCTGACATTTAGGCTGACAGAATTTTCTGATTTTCCAAACTACTCACTATTTATAATCAGTGCATACAATGCAATAAATTTTTATTATTTTTCAGCATACAGCCTTTACCTGTTGCCTAGAACTTCTCACTAATAAAAGTGAGAAGTTAAAGCCTTAGGAAGCATTCCCCAAATACAGTCAGCCTTAAATTTCTCTCTAAGCAGTCATTGTCAGCACATCAGAGATTCCTAACAGGCTCTGGGATCAGTCAGTAGGAGCAGTTTGTACTTGACAAAGAGGGCTGTGAATGCTGAAAGAAAACCACACCACACCCATGCTTTATTCAGGTGGTTTTTGTCAAAAGAACTTGAGGCAAACTCAAGCAGTTGCAATTTGCTGCAAATCTGGGCACTTGACCTGATCAAAATAACCTGCAGGCCACCAAGGCTTTCCCCTTTCTACTTCCTACTGTGTAAATTTGCATTCCTCTGGTCCCAAAGCCCATCTCTTAAGTCCTCCTCAATCAGGTGACATGGGCAAACTTTAAACAGACTGACTCTTTAACCCTGATATGAGCTGCTCCAAATCCCCAAACTCCCTTCTGTTCTTCATTATGTGTTTTGCACAGTATGGAAAGCACCCAGCACCAGTCTGCTTGTGGTTATGACCTCTGCAGTACAGCTGCCATCAGAATAATCACAAGCAATGGTGATGGAAACCTGCTACAGTGATCTCTGCAGTGGAATAATTGCTCAAAATTGCCATTGGTACCACACTTAGAAATACTAACTCCGTCACCCATTGGGTATTTCAGTACTTGTGACAACATTTATGATGTAGGAAGAATTTGTCACTGGCATCATGTAAATAAAGGAAGGGCACTGGGCAGAAGATGAGGATTTTGCTACCAGCCACCGAGGATGAGCCTTGTAAATGCAGCACAGACTTTGATGCAGAGCTAACATGGCTCTTTTGCTCAATGATGCATTTAGATGAAGGGCATAGAGAAGTGTTGACTCACCCCCTCTGGAGCACAAGTAGAAGAGAGCTGTGGCATTGCACTGAGAGACTGTGAGAAATATTGTTTGGTCCAAAACATGATGAGGAGTATCATGGCAAATGCGTGAAACAGCGTGGCTGGACATGGAGAAGGAAGGCTGGAGATGTTAGTGACAATTAATGCTCAAATGATAGCTAAGCATAAGACATAGCTGGTGATTACACTGTTGATGTTAAAGTAATGTTGTTCCAAAAATAGATTATCGCAGTTTGTTACTGTGAAGATTTACAGGGAGAGTGTGCAATTCTTTTCAGGGCCTTCTCTCTTGCCCCAGTGATTTTGAATAAGATTTCACTGCATTAGCAGGCAAGAAGTATGATGGGCTTTGAAAGAGCTGTCTATGTTCTGTTTCTTTAATTAAAAGGATGGATTCCTAGTCTGCACAATATGTTGATGATAGAATCATAGAATGGCCTGGGGTGAAAAGGAAATCAAAGATCATCTAATTTCACTGCCCCTGCTATGTGCAGGGTCACCACCCACCAGACCAGGCTGCCCAGAGCCACATCCAGCCTGGCCTTGAATGCCTCCAGGGATGGGGCATCCACAGCCTCCTTGGGCAACCTGTTCCAGTGCGTCACCACCCTCTGTATGAAAAACTTCCTCCTAATATCTATCCTAAACCTCCCATCTCAGTTTTAAACCATTCCCCCTTGTCCTATCACTGTCCACCCTCATAAACAGCCGTTCCCCCTCCTGTTTATAAGCTCCCTTCAAGTACTGGAAGGCCACAATGAGGTCTCCCCAGAGCCCTCTCTTCTCCAAGCTAAACAAGCCCAGTTCCCTCAACCTTTCTTCATAGGAGAGGTGCTCCAGCCCTCTGATCATCTCAGTGCCCTCCTCTGGACACGCTCCAAGAGCTCCATGTCTTACTTGAGCTAGGGTGCCCCTGGACGCAGTGCTGCAGATGGGGCCTCACAAAGCTGAGTAGAGGGGGACAATCACCTCCCTCTCCCTGCTGGCCACCCCTTTTTTAATGCAGCCCAGAACACAGTTGACCTTCTGAGCTGCAAGCGCACACTGCTGGCTCATGTCCATTTTCTCATCTACTAGAACTTGGGGTCCACAGAGCTGCTCTCCAGGAGATCTTGTCCCAGTTTGTACAAATACCTGGGATTGCCCTGACCCAAGTGCAGCACCCTGCACTTGGCCTTGTTGAACCTCATTAAGTTCACATGGGCCCACTTCTCCAGCCTGTGCGGGT